CTCTTCCTCATAGCTCCTCTTTAATTTTCCAACTTCCTACTGACTTATATTGGCCAGCATTTGAGTGCAACATGTTTGTAATTCAATTCAAAATTTTCCTCAAAGTATACTACCGACCTATGTAATGCATCCAGATTAATGACAGCATTATCAATTCCACATAGCAAACAGGACTCATCTTTTTCATCAATTAATAGCCTATGGACAAATTGTGTCTATTCCATTTTCACTATTTTTCTGAATAGATACATTCCTTTCCAACTTGATTAGCACTGTCTGCATGCAGGTTGTTGCAATAGTAAGCATAGAGATGACAAAAGTTTAAAAAGTCTCTCAGACATTAGTCTCTTGTCTGAAATCCATGTTTTACCCAAAACACAGAAGATATTTTAGGAAATGCCTTTTTAAACCCTTCAAAACATCCATAGAAATAAAAATTTACTTTAAAAACTAGAATTTTAAAGCTAATTAATACATTATCTTTAATGAAAGAGTCAGTGGGTAATCTTCATAGCTAAATGGAAATAAATGAATGAAGAGTTAGTGAGAATGGACTATATCAATGGAAGCTACACAACCCAAAAAACAGAAAAGAGACTGAACAAACAGACTGAATATAATGGACCTATACAACAATATCAAAAAGGCAAGCATAAGGATAACTGGAGTTCCAAAACATGAGGGGTGAATAGGTCCTTCAAAATTAATGAAATAATGACTAAACATATCCATGTAAAATAGATAAACATATAGAATCAAGAAACTGAGTAAACCTCCCCCCCCAAAAAAAAAACTTCAAAGTATGTAATCAAGCTATTGAAAACCAAAGATACAAAGAAAATCTAAAGCTGTCAAATGAAAATGAAATCTTCCATTCAGAGGATACTGAATTCTCTATCCAACAAAAATATCCTTCAGGAGTAATGACAAACAGGAAATACCTTCATACTAAGGAGAAAAATCCATCACCTGCAGACATGATTTCAAGAAATGCAGAAAGAAACTTTGTAGAATGAATGGAAATGTTATTAGAGCCAAAACTGAAAATTTCATGTGTTCTTCCATAGTTAAGTACTAATGTACATGTCTTGTGAAAATATACAGTAAACTGGG